GAACCAACGGAGGCAGCGGTGAGAGAGGAGCCCCGAACCGGGGTGAACTGGGCTAAACTGAGTTAAACTGGTTCTGCACTGGTTTAACCTGGTTTAGACCGGTTCTGCACGGGTCCAAACTGGTTCTGCACTGGTTCTGCACTGGTTCTGCACTGGTTCTGCACTGGTGCAGACCGGCCGTCCCTGGTGTGTCCCGCAGATGCGGCCCCGGCTGAGGATGAGGAGGACGCGGCCGAAGGCGCCGAGCCCGGGGAGGGCCCCGAGCCCCGGGAGGGCCCCGAGCCCCGGGAGGGCCCCGACACGGCCGAGCTGCGGCGGCGGCGCCTGCAGAGGCTGGGGACCCCCCCCTCACTGACTGGGACCCCCCAAAACTGACCCGGGACCCCCCCAAAACTGAACCGGGACCCCCAAAACTGAACCGGGACCCCCCAAAATGGACCCAGGACCCCCAAAACTGAACCGGGACCCCCCCCCACTGACCAGGACCCCCCCCAAAACCGACCCAGGACCCCCCACCCACTGACCGGGACCCCCCCCACTGACCAGGACCCCCAGAACCCCCCCCTCCCCCACTGACTGGGACCCCCCCCAGAACCCCCAAAACCCCTCCAAATTGACTGGGACCCCCCCAAAACTAACCCAGGACCCCCCAAACTGACTGGAAAACCCCTCCCAGACCCCCCCAAACTGACCCAGGATCCCCCCAGGACCCCCCCCCACCTCCCCCCTCCCCATTTTCCACTGAAATTCCCGGCTGGAAGCGAATCCCCGTCCCCTTGGTGACCCCAGCCCCATTTCCCCGGCCCCTGACCCCGTTTCCCTCTGGTTTTCCTCCAGTTTTCCCATTTTCCCCCATTTTTTCCTCATTTTCCCTCATTTTTCCCCATTTTCCCCCCATTTGCCCCAATTTTCCCTCAATTTTTCCCCATTTTCCCCCAATATTTCCCCTTTTCCCAATTTCCCCCCATTTCCCTCCACTTCCCCCTTTTTTTCCCAATTTCCTTCCGTTTTTCCTCATCTCCCCTAATTTCCTCCTTTTCCCTCAATTTCTCCCCATTTTTCCCCATTTCCCCCCAATTCTCCCTCTCCCCCGAGCCAGGGTCGGGTCCTTGTTGTCCCCTGGGGGTTTTGGGGTCCCCCTTGGGAATTTTGGGGGAAATTCCCCAATTTTGATGCCCCCACCCCCCCGGATTTGGGTCCTGCCCGTGGGAATTTCAGAATTTTCCCAGGAATTTGGGAATTTCTGGGTCCCCTCTGTGGAATTTCGGGGTTCCCCTGGAATTTTGGGAATTCTGCCCCCCCCCCCCCCATTAACAGTATTAACCCCAAACTCCGCCCCCCCCGGTCCCAAACTGGTCTGTACTGGTTTGTACTGGTGGGGGTCGCAGTTTCTCGCTGACTTTTGCCCAATTCCGGGCGCTTTTGGCCCAAATCCCACCGCGGTTCCGGGCCGGCCGCGCCCCCAGTGCCTCTGGAACCCCAAATTCTCAGGGAAAAAACCAAAACTCCAAAACCCCGCGGCCGGAATCGACGGAAACGGCGCCTTTTGCACCCAAACGGGGGCTGGGGTGGGGGAGTTTTGGGGCAAAAAGGAGCCAAATTGGGATTTTCAGCTTTGAGGCAGATTTTTTTTCTTTTTTCTTTTCATTTTTTTGGGTGATTTTAGCCCCAGCTTGAGTGGCTTGATGAGGAATTTGGCAATAACGAAGCGGCGCCGCTTTGGGGACTTGATTTGAACCCTTCCGTGTTGGTTTTTTTTTAACCCATTTTGAGCCAAAATCATCATTTCTTTTGGGTCTGTTTGAGGTTTTTTTTTTTTGGGTGGATTCCTTCAAAATCGCCTCATTTTGGGGTGAAGCCACGGGGAGGGAGAGGGATGGTTTCTGGGGGGGCGCTGGACCCCCAAAATCGCTCCTTTTCCCCCCGAAGCGGTGGCGGAATTATTTAATTTGTAAATAATGTACAAATTTTTACCAGCTCCGGTGTAAATACAAAATAAAAATTGCAGTAAAGCTCGGCTCCTCCCGCCCGCCAGGGGCGCTCGGCGCCGCCCGCGTCTCTATGATCCTCCCTCAGAGTCTCTGTGGTGGCTCAACCGTAGAGACACGCGCTTGTACTGGTTTGTAATGGTTTTGCACCCGCCAAAGCCTCTGCGGTTGGTGCGGCGCTCCCGGTACTGGTTTATACTGGTTTTTACTGGTTTATACTGGTGTTTTCCCCGCTGGGCCGCTCCGGCTTCCCTTTCCTGTCTCTCCGGTTATGGCGGCGGCAGCGGAAGCCGCTCTGGCCGCTCGGGCTCGTCTCTATGGTTCCCCCTCCGCCGTTACTCCTCTATGGCGGGGGCGCTCCGGGTCCTCCCGCCCGCCAGGGGGCGCCACCTCCCCGGGGCCGCTCGGTGCCGCCACATCCGGGTCCCGTGCGGAGCGATGGCGGCCGAGGGGCCCGAGGAGGGAGCCGGGGGCTCCGCGGGCACCGGGGAGGCGATGGACGGGGACGGGGACGGCGGTGAGAGCCCGGGGACGGGCGGCGGGGAGGAACCGGGGGGCTGGGAGTGAGGAGGGGGCTGAGGGGCCGCGATGGAGGCGAGGGCTGAGGGGGCTCGGGGGGGATTTGGGAGAATTGGGGCGGCTGAGGGGGATTGGGGTGAGGGAGGGCGAGATGTGAGGGGGATCTGGGGGGATTTGAGGGGGTCTGAGGGGATTTTGGTGCTCTGAGGGGATTTTTGGGGGGACTGAGGGGATTTGGGGGTCTTGGAGGGAACTTGGGGGTGTTTGGTGGGATTTTGGGGGATCTGAGGGGATTTTTGGGTGGAGAGAGGGGATTTCAGAGTGAGGAGGGGGGTGAGATCTGAGGGGATTTGGGGACTGTGAGGAGATTTTGGGGCTCTGAGGAGATTTTGGGGGGCTTTGAGGGAATTTGAAGATGTTTGGGGGTGTTTGATGGGATTTTGGGGATCTGGGGGCTCTGAGGAGATTTGGGGGGGTTTGAGGGGATTTTGGCGCTCTGAGGAGATTTTGGGGGCTCTGGGGGGGGGGGGTCAGGAGCCCTTGGGAGGAATTGGGGATGATTTGGGGGTGGGGGGGGGGGTCAGAGCCAGGGGGCGATGTGGGGGGAGGGGCAGAGCTGTGCCCCCCTCCCCCCCCCCCATCATTAACCGTGCCCCTCCCCCCCTTTCTCCCAGCCCCCCCGGCCGAGCCCCCCCCTCCCGCTGCCCCCGATCCCGGTTCTGATCCCGGTTCTGATCCCGATCCCAGTTCCAATCCCAATCCCGATCCCAATCCCAATCCCGATCCGAATCCCGATCCCGGTTCTGATCCCAATCCCAATCCTGATCCCGATCCCAGTTCCGATCCCAATCCCGATCCCAGTTCCGAACCCGGTCCCGATCCCGATCCCGATCCCGGTGCGGCCCCCCCGCCCCCGTCGGCCCCGAACGGGGCCCCTCCCCCGGCGGAGCCGCCCCCGGAGCAGCCGCCGCCGTTCCCGCCCGAGTTCCAGCGGCTCTGGGGGGCGGCCCAGGGCAGCCCCCACGACTTCGGAGCCTGGACCGAGCTGCTGGCGTACGTGGAGCAGGAGGTGAGCCCAGAGCCGTTAGGGACACCCCCAGACCCAAAGCTGACCCCCCCAGACCCAAAACTGAACCCCCCAGGGCCGTTAGTGACACCCCCAGACTCATTAATGACCCCCTTTGAGCTGCTGGCCTACGTGGAGCAGGAGGTGAGCCCAGGCCCGGGACCCCAGACCCAAAACCGGCCCCCCCCAGACCCAAAACCGACCCACTCAGAGCCTTCAGTGACACCCCCAGACCCAAAACTGACCCCCCTGAGCCACTGAGCTTCTAAATCCCCCAATATTCCCTGTAAACCCCCAAACACTTCTCATAAACCCCAAATTTTCCCTAGAAAAACCCCAACGCTCCCTCTAAACCCCCAACATCCCCTCTAAACCCCCCAAACCCCCCCCTAAACCCCCCAACATCCCCTCTAAACCCCCCAATACTCCCCCAAACCCCCCGATTTCCCCTCTAAATTCCCCCATTTCCCCTGTAACCCCCCTTTTTTTCCCCCTCATTTCCCCTCTAACCCCCCAATATCCCCCCCAAACCTCCCGATATCCCCATAAAGCCCCCAATATCCCCATAAACCCCCCCAATATCCTCATAAACCCCCCCAATCTTCCCTCTAACTCCCCCAATCTTCCCTCTAACCCCCCCTTTTCCCCCCCCCTTTTCCCCAGGAGCTGCTGGAGGCCGCCCGCCGCGCCTTTGACGCGTTTTTCCAGCGCTACCCGTACTGCTACGGCTACTGGCGCAAGTACGCCGAGCTGGAGCGGCGCCTGGGCAGCGCCCGCAGCGCCCAGCAGGTGGGCAGCCTCTGGCCATCAAATCCCCCTTTTTCCTGGTGTTTTGGGGCTTAAAATCCCCTTTTTTCCTGTTTTTTTGGGGGTTAAAATCCCCTTTTTTCCTGGTGTTTTGGGGGTTAAAATCCTCTTTTTTCCTGAGGTTTTGGGGAGGAAAGTCCCCATTTCCCCAGGCAGAGAGGGGCGGTGCAGGAGCCTGGCTGCCCCCAGGTACATCCCAGATGCTCCCAGGTGTATCCCAGGTGTGCCCAGGTGTACCCCAGGTTCTCCCCAGATGCCCCCAGCTGCCCCCAGGTGTGCCCAGGTGTATCCCAAGTATATCCCAGGTGTACCAGGTGTATCCCAGGTGCCCCCCAGGTGCCTTCCAGCTGCCCCCAGGTGCACCCAGGTGTATCCCAGGTGTACCCCAGGTGTATCCCAGCTGTACCAGGTGTACCCCAGGTGTATCCCAGCTGTTCCAGGTGTATCCCAGGTGTACCCCAGGTGTGTCCCAGGTGTACCAGGTGTATCCCAGCTGTACCAGGTGCCCCAGGTGACCCCAGGTGCCCCCCAGGTGTATCCCAGCTGTACCAGGTGCCCCCCAGGTGCCCCCCAGGTGTATCCCAGGTGCCCCCCAGGTGTATCCCAGCTGTACCAGGTGCCCCCCAGGTGTATCCCAGGTGTACCCCAGGTGTATCCCAGCTGTACCAGGTGCCCCCCAGGTGTATCCCAGGTGCCCCCAGGTGCCCCAGGTGACCCCAGTTCCCGCAGGTGCTGGAGCGGGGCCTGCAGTCCATCCCGCTGAGCCTGGAGCTGTGGCTGCACTACATCAGCCTCCTGCAGAGCTCGCTGGACCCCGCGCGGCCCGAGAGCGCCCAGCGCGTGCGGGGGTGAGTGAGGGGAAATCCTGGGAATGGCCCTGGGAATGTCCCTGAGAAATCCTGGGAATGTTCCTGGGAATATCCTGGGAATATCCCTGGGAATGTCCCTGGGAATGTCCCTGGGAATGTCCTGGGAATGGCCCGAGAGCGCCCAGCACGTGCGGGGGTCAGTGAGGGGAAACCCTGGGAATATCCTGGGAATATCCCTGGGAATATCCCTGGGAATGTCCCTGGGAATGTCCCTGGGAATGTCCCTGGGAATGTCCCTGGGAATGTCCCTGGGAATGGCCCGAGAGCGCCCAGCGCGTGTGGGGGTGAGTGGGGGAATATCCTGGGAATGTCCCTGGGAATGGCCCTGAGAAATGTCCCGAGAGCGCCCAGCACGGAATATCCTGGGAATGTCCTGGAATATCCTGGGAATGTCTCAGGAATGTCCAGGAATGGGTCTGGGAGCGAGCCCTGGCTTGTCCTGGGAATTTCCCACCCTTTTCCCAGGATTCTACCCCCATTGCCTGGGATTCTCCTCCCACCATTTCCCATGTTTCCCCCCCCACCCTTTCCCAGGATTCCCCCTTCTTTTCCCAGGATTCCCCCTTCTTTTCCCAGGATTTCCCCCCTTTTTCCTGGGATTTGCCCCCCAGATTTCCCAGGATTCTCTTCCCCATTTCCCAGTCATCCCCCCTCCTTTCCCCAGCATTCTCCCCCCCTTTTCCCAGAGTTTCCCCCCCCTTTTCCCCGGGATTCTCCCCCCCTTTTCCCAGAGTTTCCCCTCTCCCGGTGACCCCGGGGTCCCCCAGGGCGTTCGAGGCGGCGCTGGCAGCGGCAGGGATGGATTTCCGCTCCGACAAACTCTGGGAATCCTACCTGGAGTGGGAGCGGGAGCGCGGCGACCTCCGGGCGGTCACGGCCATCTACGACCGCCTGCTGTCCATGCCCACGCAGCTCTACAGCCACCACTGGGAGAGGTGGGGAGCGGGGGGTGCAGCGGGAAAACACCGGGAATGCAGCGGGAATGCACCGGGAATGCACTGGGAATGCAGCGGGAATGCACTGGGGAATCAAACACCGGGAATGCACCGGGAATGCAGCGGGAATGCACCGGGAATGCACTGGGAATGCACTGGGAAAACACCGGCAATTCAGTGGGAATGCACCAGGAATGCACCGGGAATGCACCGGGAAAACACCGGGAATGCAGTGGGAATGCACCGGGAAATCCCTGGGAATGCACTGGGAAAACACCGGGAATGCACTGGGAAAACACCGGGAATGCACTGGGAACTCCACTGGGAAAACACCGGGAATTCACTGGGAAAACACTGAGAAATCCCTGGAATTCCCTGGGAAAACACCTGGAATTCCCTGGGAATGCACTGGGAAAACACCAGGAATTCACTGGGAAAAAATGGCAGGGGAACAGCGGGAATTCCATGGGAAAACAGTGGGGAAATAACGAGGAAATGCCAGGGAAACAGAGGGAAAAGAGTGGGAAACAGCGGGAATTCCATGGGAAACAGTGGGGAAACAGCGGGGAAGCAAACAGCAGAAATTCAGCAGGAATTCACTGGGGAAATGGTGGGAAAACACTGGGAATTCCCTGGGAAATCAGTGGAAATTCACTACAAAAACATCAGGGAAACAGCGGGAATTGAGTGGGAAAACAGCGGGAATTGAGTGGGAATTCCCTGGGAATCCACTGGGGAAACCTCGGGGAAACCTCGGGAATTCACGAGAAAAACCTCAGGAAAATCCTGGCATTGCTGGGGTTCTGCTGGGGAGAAATCCCTAAATTGGTGGAGGAAATCCTGAAATCCAGGTGGGAATTCCCCGATTCTGGCTGTGATTTCCCATTTTCACTGTGAGTTCCCCATTTTCACTGTGATTCCCCATTTTCGCTGTGATTCCCCATTTTTCACTGTGATTCCCCATTTTCCGCTGTGATTTCCCCATTTTTCACTGTAATTCCCCATTTTTCACTGTGATTTCCCCATTTTCACTGTGAATTCCCCATTTTCGCTGTGATTCCCCATTTTCACTGTGAATTCCCCATTTTTCACTGTGATTTCCCCATTTTCACTGTGAATTCCCCATTTTCGTGTGTGATTCCCCATTTTTCACTGTGATTCCCCATTTTCATTGTGATTCCCCATTTTCTGGCTATGATTTCCCCATTTTTCACTGGGATTTCCTCATTTTCGCTGTGATTTCCCCATTTTCGCTGTGATTTCCCCGGTTTTGCTGTGATTCCCCATTTTCACTGTGATTTCCCCGTTTTTTTTGGCTGTAATTCCCCATTTTTCACTGTGATTTCCCCATTTTTCGCTGTGATTTCCCCATTTTTCGCTGTGATTTCCCCATTTTTCGTGTGTGATTTCCCCATTTTTCGCTGTAATTTCCCCATTTTTCACTGTAATTCCCCATTCCCGCTGTAATTCCCCATTCCCGCTGTGCTCCCCGCAGGTTCAAGGCGCACGTCCTGCAGCACCCGCCCGGGGCCATCCTCACCCCCGAGGAGCTGCTCTGGCTCCGCTCCAAGCTCGGCCCCGGCCCCGGCCCCGGCCCGGAGCCCCCGCAGGGCCCGGAGCGGCCGCCGGGGGAGGAGGAGCCGCGCGCCGGGGCCGGGCCCGAGCCGCAGGTACCGCCCGGCACCGGGAATGGGGCTAAAAACCGGGAATGGGGCTAAAAACCGGGAATGGGGCTCTAAAAAACGGGAATGGGGCCTTAAAAACACGGGATATCCCCAAAAACCGGGAATTGGGCTGTAAAACACGGGAATTGGGCCTTAAATAAACGGGAATGGGGCTTAAAAACCGGGAACTGGGCCTTAAATAAACGGGAATCGGGCTCTAAAAACACGGGAATGGGGCTAAAATAAACGGGAACTGGGCTAAAAAAACGGGAATTGGGCTAAAAAACCGGGAATGGGGCTTTAAATAAACGGGAATTGGGCTAAAATAAACGGGAACTGGGCTTAAAAACGGGAATTGGGCTCTAAAAAACGGGAACTGGGCCTTAAATAAACAGGAATTGGGCTAAAAAACCGGGAACTGGGCTTTAAAACGGGAATTGGGCCTTAAAAAATGGGAATTCTGCTTTAAAAACCGGGATATTCCCAAAAAAACGGGAATTCTGCTTTAAAATCCGGGAATTCTGCTTAAAATCCGGGATATTCCCAAAAGCCAGGAATTCTGCTTTAAAACCTGGGAATTCTGCTTTTCCCGTGGCTTTGGAGGGATTAAATCCTTCATTTCTTCATTTCTTGCCATGAATTTATTCCTTAACATCTTATTTCAGTCTATTTCTTTATTATTTTGATATCTTTATTTTGTGCTTATTGATCTTTATTCACCTTGGGGATGTGATTCACAATAAATCCACATTCACTAATGCGGATTTATTGATTTTAATTGGGCTTTTATTTGAATTGGGTTTTTCTTTTAATGGATTTATTTTCATTGGGTTTATTAAATTGGATTTTTGTTTTAATGGATTTATTTATTTTAATTGGGTTTTTATTTAAATTGGGTTTTTATTTTAATGGATTTATTTATTTTAATTGAGTTTATTTTAATTGGGTTTTTATTTTAATAGATTTTTTTTTAATTGGGTTTATATAAATTGGGTTTTTATTTTAATGGATTTATTTATTTTCATTGGGTTTATTTAAATTGGGTGTTTATTTTAATGGATTTATTTCTCATTATTTGGCTTTTTTTACTGCTTTATTTTATCATTGCTAATTATTTAAAATTAATCACCAATAACAAACGGCTGTATTTATTATTTGTTCATTATTTATTATTCATTATTTATTATTTATTATTCATTGTTGGATCCTTGCAGGAGGATCTGGACCAGGAGAAGATCCGGGAGCTCGTGATCTCCATGCGGCAGCAAATCCACGCCCAGAACGAGGCCGAAGTCAGCAAGCGCTGGAACTTCGAGGATGGGGTGGGTGGAAAGGGTGGGAGCCTCTGGAATTGTCCTGGAATCCCCTGGAATTCCCTGGAATTGTCCTGAAATTGTCTTGGAATTGCCCTGGAATTGTCCTGGAATTCCCTGGAATTGTCCTGGAATTGTTCTGGAATCCCCTTGGAATCCCCCAAACCCCTGGAACCCCCCAGAATCCCCCAAGTCCCCCTGAAATCCCCTTGAAATCCCTGAAATCCCCCAAATCTCCCCCAAACCCCCCAAAATCCCCAGATCTTCCCCAAATCCCCCTGAAATCCCCCCAAATCCCCCCAAAATGCCCCAAATTCCCAATCCCTGGCAGATCAAGCGCCCCTATTTCCACATGAACCCCAAAATCCCCTCAAAATGCCCCAAATCCCCATTCCTGGCAGATCAAGCGCCCCTATTTCCACGTGAACCCCAAATCCCCCCAAATTCCCCCCAAAATCCCCCCAAATTCCCCATTTCTGGCAGATCAAGCGCCCCTATTTCCACGTGAACCCCAAATCCCCCCCAAATCACCCCAAATCCCCCCAAATTCCCAATCCCTGGCAGATCAAGCGCCCCTATTTCCACGTGAACCCCAAATCCCCCATTCCTGGCAGATCAAGCGCCCCTATTTCCACGTGAACCCCAAATTCCCCCCAAAATACCCCAAATTCCCCATTTCTGGCAGATCAAGCGCCCCTATTTCCACGTGAACCCCAAATCCCCAATCCCTGGCAGATCAAGCGCCCCTATTTCCACACGAACCCCAAATCACCCCAAATCACCCCAAATCCCCCCAAATTCCCAATCCCTGGCAGATCAAGCGCCCCTATTTCCACGTGAACCCCAAATTCCCAATCCCTGGCAGATCAAGCGCCCCTATTTCCACGTGAACCCCAAATCCCCCCCAAATCCCCCCCAAATTCCCCCAAATCCCCCATTTCTGGCAGATCAAGCGCCCCTATTTCCACATGAACCCCAAATCCCCCCCAAATCACCCCAAAATGCCCCAAATTCCCCCATTTCTGGCAGATCAAGCGCCCCTATTTCCACGTGCGGCCGCTGGAGCGGGCGCAGCTGCGGAACTGGCGCGAGTACCTGGACTTCGAGGTGGCCGCGGGCTCGCAGGAGCGCAGCATCGTCCTCTTCGAGCGCTGCCTCATCGCCTGCGCGCTCTACGAGGAGTTCTGGGTCAAGGTGCCCTGAAATCCCCCAAAACTCACCAATTCACCCTGGGCCTGGCCCCAAAATCCCTGATTTATCCCCAAAATCCCTGCTGCTATCCCCCAAATTCACCAATTCACACCTGGGCCTGGCCCCAAAATCCCTGCTTTATCCCCAAATTCCTTGACTATCCCCCAAAGTCACCAATTCACACCTGCTCCTGGCCCCAAAATCCCTGCTTCTATCCCCAAAATCCCCACTCCTGGCCCCAAAATCCCTGATTTATCCCCAAAATCCCTGATTTATCCCCAAAATCCCTGATTTATCCCCCAAACTCACCAATTCACACCTGGGCCTGGCCCCAAAATCCCTGATTTATCCCCAAAATTCACCAATTCACCCTGCTCCTGGCCCCAAAATCCCTGATTTATCCCCAAAATCCCTGATTTATCCCCAAAATTCACCAATTCACACTGCTCCTGGCCCCAAAATCCCTGATTTATCCCCCAAATTCATCAATTCACACTGCTCCTGGCCCCAAAATCCCTGATTTTCCCCCTGTTATTCCCCCACTTTTCCCCCATTATTCCCCCGTTAATCCCCCATTTTTCCCCCATTAATCCCCCATTATTCCCCCATTTTCCCCCCATTATTTCCCCCCATTAATCCCCCATTATTCCCCCATTTCCCCCCCATTTTTCCCCCATTAATCCCCCATTTTTCCCCCATTATTCCCCCATTTTTCCCCCAATTTTCCCCCGTTTTCCCCGCAGTACACGCGGTACCTGGAGTCGCGCACGGTGCCGGGCGCCCGCAGCGTTTTCCAGCGCGCCTGCGGCTTCCACCTGCCCCGCAAGCCCAACATCCACCTGCTCTGGGCCGCCTTCGAGGAGAAGCAAGGTGGGGGCACGGCCAGAGCCCGAATCCGGGGAGCCCCAAAACCTGGGACTGACCTGGGGCTCCCCCGCACCGGGGGCTTGGTCCCAAAACGCTCCGAGCTGGGGTCGGGCTCAAATCTCACCCCAGAGTGACTCAGAGACCTCTAAAATCAACGTGGGAGCCCCCAGACTGCACCAGGGAGCCCTAAAAGCATCTTGGGCACCCCATAACCCACCCTGGGCACCCCATAACCCACCCTGGGCACCCCATAACCCTGCCAGGACACCCCTGATCTCTTTCTGTCCCATTTTTACCCCATTTCCCAGGCAATGTTGATGAGTCACGGCGCATCCAGTGCGGTTTCAAGGCAGCCATGCCTGGGCTGGGACCCCAATAACCCCATTTTTACCCATTTTTACCCATTTTTACCCATTTTTACCCATTTTTACCCAATTTCCCCCATTTTTACCCCATTTTTCAGGCAATGTGGACGAGGCCCGGCGCATCCTGCGCAGTTTTGAGGCCGCAGTGCCCGGCCTGGCCATGGTGCGCCTGCGCCGGGTGTCCCTGGAGCGTGTGACCCCGATAACCCCAATAACCCCATTTTCACCCATTTTTACCCCATTTTTACCCCATTTTTACCCAATTTCCCCGGCAATGTGGATGAGGCCCGGCGCATCCTGCGCAGTTTTGAGGCCGCAGTGCCCGGCCTGGCCATGGTGCGCCTGCGCCGGGTGTCCCTGGAGTGCGTCACCCCAGTAACCCAAATAACCCCATTTTTACCCCATTTTTACCCCATTTTTACCCATTTTTACCCAATTTCCCCCATTTTCCAGGCAATGTGGACGAGGCCCGGCACATCCTGCGCAGTTTTGAGGCCGCAGTCCCAGGCCTGGCCATGGTGCGCCTGCGCCGGGTGTCCCTGGAGTGCGTCACCCCAATAACCCCATTTTCACCCATTTTAACCCCATTTTTACCCCATTTTTGCCCATTTTTACCCAATTTCCCCCGTTTTTACCCCGTTTCCCAGGGAACGTGGATGAAGCCCGGCGCATCCTGCGCAGTTTTGAGGCCGCAGTGCCAGGCCTGGCCATGGTGCGCCTGCGCCGGGTGTCCCAGGAGCGCGTCACCCCAATAAAGCCATTTTTACCCAATTTCCCCTGTTTTTACCCCGTTTCCCAGGCAATGTGGATGAGGCCCGGCGCATCCTGCGCAGTTTTGAGGCCGCAGTGCCAGGCCTGGCCATGGTGCGCCTGCGCCGGGTGTCCCTGGAGTGCGTCACCCCAATAACCCCATTTTCACCCATTTTAACCCCATTTTTACCCCATTTTCCCCCATTTTTACCCCGTTTCCCAGGGAACGTGGATGAGGCCCGGCGCATCCTGCGCAGTTTTGAGGCCGCGGTGCCCGGCCTGGCCATGGTGCGCCTGCGCCGGGTGTCCCTGGAGTGCGTCACCCCAGTAACCCAAATAACCCCATTTTAACCCCACTTTTACCCATTTTAACCCCATTTTCACCCAATTTCCCCCATTTTCACCCCGTTTCCCAGGGAACGTGGATGAGGCCCGGCGCATCCTGCGCAGTTTCGAGGCCGCGGTGCCCGGCCTGGCCATGGTGCGCCTGCGCCGCGTGTCCCTGGAGCGTGTGACCCCAATAACCCCAATAACCCCATTTTCACCCATTTTTACCCCATTTTCACCCATTTTTACCCAATTTCCCCCGTTTTTACCCCATTTTTCAGGCAATGTGGATGAGGCCCGGCGCATCCTGCGCAGTTTCGAGGCCGCGGTGCCCGGCCTGGCCATGGTGCGCCTGCGCCGGGTGTCCCAGGAGCGCGTCACCCCAATAAAGCCATTTTTACCCAATTTCCCCTGTTTTTACCCCGTTTCCCAGGCAATGTGGACGAGGCCCGGCGCATCCTGCGCAGTTTCGAGGCCGCAGTGCCAGGCCTGGCCATGGTGCGCCTGCGCCGGGTGTCCCTGGAGCGTGTGACCCCAATAACCCCAATAACCCCATTTTCACCCATTTTAACCCCATTTTTACCCCATTTTCACCCCATTTCTCAGGCAATGTGGACGAGGCCCGGCGCATCCTGCGCAGTTTTGAGGCCGCAGTGCCAGGCCTGGCCATGGTGCGCCTGCGCCGGGTGTCCCTGGAGCGCGTCACCCCAATAACCCCATTTTCACCCATTTTAACCCCATTTTTACCCCATTTCCCCCGTTTTTACCCCATTTTTCAGGCAATGTGGACGAGGCCCGGCGCATCCTGCGCAGTTTCGAGGCCGCGGTGCCAGGCCTGGCCATGGTGCGCCTGCGCCGCGTGTCCCTGGAGCGCCGGCACGGGCGCGTGGCCGAGGCCGAGGCGCTGCTGCTCGAGGCCATGAGGGCCAACGAGGGGCGGCCCCTGGGCTCCTTCTACGCCGTCAAACTGGCCCGGCAGGTGTGCAAGGTGCAGAAAAACCTGGGCAGGGCCAGAAAGGTCCTCGAGGAGGCCCTCGAGAAGGACCCGGTGAGTCCAGAGGGCTCCCATTAAATTAATTATAAAAAAAGAAAAATTTTATATATATATATATATATACATATATATAAAAATAGTTGTATATTTATATATAAGTATATATAAATGTTTGTATATTTGCATATAAATATATATGTTTGTATATTTATATATAAATATATGTAAATATATGTATATCTATTAATAAAAATATATAAATATATGCATATTTATATATGTATATTTATATATATAAATACATATATATTTATATATAAAGTTATTTAAAAAGCATAGAAATATAATATAAAAAGTCATAAGAAAAATAATATAAAATAACATTATAATAATATAATATTATATAATGGTATTATAATATATATTAGTAATGCTGCCTTAAAGTTATTTAAAAATAATATAAAAATAATATTATTATATTATATTATATTATATTATATTATATTATATTATATTATATTATATTATATTATATTATATTACATTACATTACATTATATTACATTACATTACATTATATTATTATTATATACCTCGTCCAGCCCCCACCAAACTGCCTATAGGTGCCCCTGAAACCCCCTATAGGACCCCCCCCCAAACCCCCTTCCAGGACCCTCAAAGCCCCTCTAACCCCCACAAACCCTCTCTAGTCCCCCCCAAACCCCCTATAGGACCCCCCAAATCCCCTCCAGCCCCCCCAAACCCCCTTTAAGACCCCCCAAAGCCCCTCCAGTGCCCCCCAAACCCCCTATAGGACCCCCCAAGCCCCTGCAGTGCCCCCCTGAGCCCCCTATAGGACCCCCTAAACCCCCTCCAGCCCCCCCAAACCCCCTATAGGACCCCCCAAAGCCCCTCTAGGACCCCCCAAACCTCCTCCCGTGCCCCCCTGAGCCGCGTGTGCCCGGTGCCCAGGAGAACGCCCGGCTCCACGCCAACCTGCTGGAGATGGAGTTTGGGGCGGACGTGGGGCAGAACGAGGGCAACACCATGAGCTGCTTGGAGCGCGCCCTGCGCAGCCGCCTGCCCCACGAGGCCAAGCTGCTCTTCTCCCAGCGCCGCCTGGAGTTCCTGGAGGACTTCGGCTCCAGCATCCACAGGTGGGGCCCGCGGGAGGGGGAGGCCCTGGGCAGGGGAAACGGGGCTGGGAAATGGGGCTGGGAAATGGGGCTGGGAAATGGGGATGGGGGAGGCCCTGGGGATGGGAAATGGGGTGGGGGAGGCCCTGGGGATGGGAAACGGGGATGGGAAATGGGGATGGGGGATCCTTGTGGGAAATGGGGATGGGGGATCCTTGTGGGAAATGGGGATGGGGGAGGTCCTTGGGGATGGGAAATGGGATGGGAAATGGGGATGGGAAAGGGGCTGGGGATGTGGGAGCCCCTGGGGATGGGAAACGGGATGGGGGAGACCTGTGGGACCCTGAAATAGGGATGGGGGAAGCCCCTGGGGCAGGGAAATGGGGATGGGGAATCCTTGTGGGAGAGGGAAATGGGGGAGACCTGGGGACCCTGAAATGGGGATGGGGGAGGTCCTTGGGGATGGGAAATGGGGGATCCCTGTGGGACCCTGAAATGGGGCTAGGAAATGGGGCTGGGGGGGATCCACATGGGACAGAGAAATGGGGCTGGGGGCCCTGCATGGGTTCCCAAAATGGGGCTGGGGGCTCCCAGCTCCTCCCCAGCCTGTTGAAGATAAAAACGTCCTGGGGGGGGACATGAAAAGGGTCAGGGGGCTCCCCCTGGGACCCCAGAACGGGTCTGGGGGCTCCCCCCTGAGCGCTGCCCCCTCCCCAGCCTGCTCAAGGACAGAACAGCCTGGGGGGACCCCAAAAAGGGTCTGGGGGCTCCCCCCTGAGCGCTGCCCCCTCCCCAGCCTGCTCAAGGCCTACGAGGAGCACCAGAAGATGCTGAAGGCGCACATGGCCCGGAAACGGGCGCCTGAGAACGGGTGAGACCCCGGGAGCCCCAAAACGGGCCCAAATCAGCCCAAAATGGCCCCAAAATTAGGCACAAAACGGCCCCAAATCAGCCCCAAAATGGCCACAAAATTGGCCCAAAATGACCCCAAATCAGCCCCAAAATGACCCCAAATCAACCCCACAATCAGCCCCAGATCAGCCCCAAAATCGGCCCCAAATCTACCCCAAAGTGGGCCCCAAAATCGGCCCCAAATCAGCCCTAAATCAACTCCAAATCAGTCCCAAAATGGCCTCAAAATCAGCCCCAAATGAGCCCCAAAATCGGCCACAAATCAGCCATAAATTGGCCCCAAATGAGCCCCAAAATGGCCCCAGTCGGCCCCAAAATCAGACCCAAAATGGCCTCAAAACAAGCCCCCAAATCAGCCCCAAATCAACCCCAAAATCAACCCCAAAATCAGCCCCAAACCACCTCAAAATCAGCCCCCAAATAGGCCCCAAAATCAGCCCCAAATCAGCCCCTGCTTCTACCCCAGTTCCCCCCACTCTTATTCCAGTTCCCACCTTTTCATCCCCTCCACTTCACCCCTTTTTAATCCCAAATTCCCCCCCAAATTTTCTCCTTTTTCCCCCAATTTTTCCCCTCACATTTCCCCCAAATTTCCCCCCAATTTTTCCCCTTTTTTCCCCACATTCCCCCCCAATTTTTCTCCTTTTTCCCCCCAAATTTTTCCCCCCACATTTCCCCCCAATTTTTCTCCTTTTTCCCCAAAATTTTCCCCTTTTCCCCCCACATTTCCCCCAATTTTCCCCCCAATTTTTCCCCCCAATTTTTCCCCCCAGCTCAGAGGAACCCGAGGACAAACGGCTCCGTCCCGAGGACCCCTCGGGGCTCCTGGGACCCCACAACTTTTTGGGGGCTGGAGACCCCAACCCCTCCTACAGCTCCTGGTACCAGGTGGGTGATTTGGGGAGGGGCTTTGGGGTCTCGGGGGCGTTCCCAGGCCGAGCCCCCTCCCCTTTTAACCCCTTCCTCCCCAGCAGGGCTACGGCACCTACGGCTACCAGAGCCCCTGGGGCTACGGCCACTACTACGGGCAGAGCTGAGGAGGGGGCTCAGCCCCCCCACCCTGTACAGACCCTGCGACCCCTCCCCAAAATTTGGGGGGGGGGACACCTTGTAAATAAAGAGACTGTGAGGAGTTACCCGAGGCCTTTATTGGGGTTTGTTATGGTTTTGGGGGGGTTTGTTTGGTTTTTGGGGGCTCCAAGGTGGATTTTGGGATCCTCTCTGTGCATTTCAGGGTTCTCCAAAAGGATTTTGGGGTACCTCAATGTGGATTTTGGGATCCTTTCTGTGCATTTCAGGGCTCCCCCCAAGGATTTTGGGGTACCCCAGGTGGATTTCAGGATCCCAGAACAGATTCTGACGTTCCCCCAACAGATTTTGGGGTTTGGGGCTGTCCACAGCAGATTCCAGGCAGATTTTGGGGTGCTCCAGGTGGATTTAAAGGTGTCCCAAATGGATTTTGGGATGCTCCAGGTGGATCTGGAGGTGCCCAGGTGGATCTGGAGATGCCCCAAACAGATTTTGGGGTGCCCAGGTAGATCTGCAGGTGCTCCCAGAAGAAGTTTCACTGCCCAGGGTCCATTTCAAGCTGCTCCAGGTGTTCCCACAGCAGATCCCTCGCAGACTTCGGGGTCCCCCCTGCAGATCTGGGGTCCCCCGGCAGATCTGGGGTCCCCCTGGCAGATCTGGGGTCCCCGGCAGACCCGGGGGTCTCTAGAAGCCCCTCTGGAGCAGCCACTGCCTCACCTGAGCCCCCCAGTGTCCCCTGAGCCGCAGCGTCCCCGTCACCTCGTTCACCTGCGCCGCCACCTCGGGCACGCCCTGGGAGCCCAGGAACGCCCTCAGGTCCCGCTCCAGCGCCTGGGGGGGCACGGGGGGGGTCAGGGGGCGCCCCCCGAGCCCCCCGGAGCCCCCCCGGGCCCCCCACTCACCCAGATGTCGCCGTGGATGCGGCGCAGCTCCGTGAGGCGCCGGCCCTGCCGCAGCCCCAGGTACACGGGCAGGTTGTGCAGGCGGGAACGGCGGACGAAATAGGGCAGATCCGGGGGGGGGTCTGGGCAATTAACACCCCCCAGGGGTAATTAACACCCCCCAGGGGTAATTAACGCCTCCCTGAGAGAATTAACACTGCCCGCGGTAATTAACAGCACCCCGCCCTCAATTAAATTCTCTTCACTACTCGGTTTGGAATTAATAATTTCTCCTTCAAGGAAATATTTTGGGTTCCCCCGAGGGTAATTAGCACCCCCAAGTGGTAATTAACATCCCCAAAGGATAATTAACATCCCCACAGGGTAATTAACCCCCCCCCGTAGTAATTAACACTCACCCGGGAGAATCGCACCCACCCGACCTTTAAGTAAATTTAAGTTCTCTTCACTGCTATATTTGGAATTATTAATTTCTCCTTCAAGGAAATATTTTGGGCCCCCCTGAGGGTAATTAACACCCACCAAGGGGTAATTAACATCCCCCCCGGGGTAATTAGCATCCCCCTGAAGGAATTCAACCCACCCCAGAGCAATTCAACCCGGTTTGGGGTAAATAAATCCTCTCCCGGCGCTAATTAACCCCCCCAGGGTTAATTAGAGGGTGCCTGACCTGCGGGGGGGCTCCATCCGGACGGGGTGGGGTATTTGGGGTGCGGGGGGGGGTCGGGGATGCGGCTGGGGGGCAGCAGCCGCTCCACGAACCCGAACTCGGCCGTCGACTCCTCATAGCGGGGAGGGGTCTGTGGGGACCCCCAAAAAATCCCAAAAATCCTTCAGAGACCCCCCCAGCTCCCCCATTAATTCACCCCTAAGACCCCCCCAAGTTTTTCCCTCCCTTTTTCGAGAACCCCCCCAAAATCTCCCCTCTCCAGGTCCTCCCCAATTCCTTCTCCCTCCCAACCCCCCACTCCCTCAGGCACACCCCAATTTCTCCTCCCTAAACCCCAAATCCCCTCAGGGCTCCCCTAAACCCCCCTCAAACCTCCCTTCACCCCTCAAACCCCCCGCTCCAATTCCCCCTCAAGCCCCAAATTCCCCCCTCACGTCTCCCCCCCTTTACCTGAGTCCCCCAAAAGAACCCCTCACACCCCAAAGCCCCTTCCCGGTACCTGCACCCCCCTGACCCCCCGGCCTAGCGCCCGCAGCCTCCGGCCCAGCGCCGCCATCGCCGCCATCTTGGCTCCTCCTTCCCGCCCTCACGACGTCATCACGCAGCGCGCACGTACGTACGCGTGACGTCATCGCGCTCTCTCCGCGCCGCGCTCCGAGCCCTGAGGGAGCCGCTGAGGTGGGGCCGGGCCCGGGGGCTCGGAACGGGAATTTGGGGGGGATTTGAGGGGTCTGGGGGGTACAGAGGGGACGGGGAGAGGGTAAGGGAGGGGTTGGGGTGAGGGGACCGTTGTGAAGGGGCTCAGGGGGGTATTGGGGGAGCGGGAGGGGATCAGGAAAGGTTTGGAGGGGGATCCTGAGGGGATTTCAGGAGGGGGGCGCGCTCTGGAGGGATTTTAAGGGGTGTTTTGTGCGGTTGGGGTCTATTGGGGGGTCTGGGGGTGGTGTGGGAGGGGCTGGGGAGGTTTTTTGGGGGGCTCTGAGGGGTTCAGGCCTGGAGGGGCTGCAGGAGCCGCTGGGGAGGCTCTGGAGGGGTTTGGGGGGGATTCTGAGGGGGCTGTGAAGGTTTGGGGTGATGGGGGTTATGGGAGGCCTTGAGGGGATTGTTGGGGGCGGTTCAGAGGGTAGGAGACACCCAAGGGTGCTGCCAGTGGACCCCCAGTGTCCCCCCCTGCAGAGCCCTTTGTCCCCAGGGCCCCAGGCCAAGTGACAAAGTCCTGTGGGCGGGAGAGGGGAGGAAAACACAACCAAAACTGCCAGGATCCCACCCAAAACAGCCAGAAACACCCCAAGACTGCCAGGATCCCACCCGAAACAGCCAGAAACACCCCAAAACTGCCAGAATCCCACCCAAAACAGCCACAACACCCCAGAACATACCCACAGCCCCCCAGAAAACACCCCAACACAGCCACAACACCCCAAAATTGCCACAATCCCACCCAAAACTGCCACGATCCCACCCAAAACAGCCCCAGCCTCCCAATAACCCCCCAGTGACCCCCAAAACACCACTCACCTCCCCAAAAATAACTCAAATCTCCCCAAACCACCCCTCCCTCGCTTCTCCCCCTTTCCTGGGGATCTGGGGGCGGGTTCCAGGGGTTTCCCCTCATTTTTGGGCTGTGGGGACCCCCTCTAACCCCCCCAAATTCTCCCCCCCCCCCAGCCGCAACCATGCAGCTCTTCATCCGCGGCCAGACCCTCCTCACCCTCGAGCTCTCCGGCTCCGAGACCCTCGCCCAGATCAAGGTGAGAGCCCCAAATTCGGGCTGTGCCCCTCCCCAATTTCCCTCCCAGGTTTTGGGGTGCTGACCCCCCCCCGTTTGTCCCCTCCCCCAGGAGAGGGTGGCCGAGCTTTCGGGGATCCCCCCCGAGGACCAAGTGCTGCTCCACGCCGGGACCCCCCTGGACGATGAGGCCGTGCTGGGGCAGAGCCCCCTCCCCGAATTCACCACCCTGGACCTCTCCACGCGCCTGCTGGGCGGTAATTACAGGGGGGCCGCTAATTATCGGGCTGGTAATTAGCAAAACAACCCCCCCAACAGCCCAATTTCCTTCCTCCCCCCAGGTAAAGTCCACGGCTCCCTCGCCCGCGCCGGCAAAGTGAGGGGCCAGACCCCCAAGGTGAGCGCTCAGGGGGCTCCCCCCGGCTTTGGGGACCCCCACGGGGTTTGGGGACCCTGCCAGGGTTTTGGGGACCCCCCCTGACCCCCCGGTTTTCCATCAGGTGGCCAAGCAGGAGAAGAAGAAGAAGAAGACGGGGCGGGCCAAGCGGCGCATGCAGTACAACCGGCGCTTCGTCAACGTGGTGCCCACCTTCGGCAAGAAGAAGGGTCCCAACGCCAACTCCTGAGCACAATAAAGGAATTTGGGCACAATTCCCGCCATTTTGGGACTTCCTGAGCTTTTTGTCCATTTTTTAGGGTTGGTTTTGCACTGTTGTAGGGACGATTTTGAGGAGTTTAAAGGGGTTTAGGGGTCAAAGTGGTCTCTAGGGGGATTGTGCGGGTTGCTGAGCAGTTTGGGGGGGTGATTAATAGGCGGTGATTATAGGGAAAAGCTTAATGAGCGTTAATTTGGGGGCTGCTAATGGGAGGATGCTGGGTGCAGAAGTTTTCAATGAGAGCGGCGGAAAGAGCCGAGCGCTGCCGGAAATACCCGAGCGAAGGGGCGGGGCGGAGCGGCCGAACGGTGCCGGAAATACCCGAGCGAAGGGGCGGGGCGGAGCGGCCGAGCGGTGCCGGAAGTACCCGAGCGAAGGGGCGGGGCGGAGCGAGCCGAGCGATGCCGGAAGTACCCGAGCGAAGGGGCGGGGCGGAGCGAGCCGAGCGGTGCCGGAAATACCCGAGCGAAGGGGCGGGGCGGAGCGAGCCGAGCGATGCCGGAAGTACCCGAGCGAAGGGGCGGGGCGGGGCGAGCCGAGCGATGCCGGAAGTAACCGAGTGATTCCGATTATGAGGGGATAGGGGGAGCCGAGCGCTGACGGGAGTACCCGAGTAATTCCGAATGTGAGGGGCCGTGGGAAAAAGCGGTGACGGGAACACCCCCGGGTGCCTCCTGTCCCCCAAAAAACCCCTTGGGAGGGAACGAGGGACCCCAAAACTTCCCCAATTCCCCTAAACCGCTTCCCCCCATCCCCAGAGCCGCTGGGTGAGTAAAAGGAGCCGGACAAATCCGTCCTGAGATATGAATATGCAAATACCGGAGTGTTATTATGCTAATAAATGAGTGACTCGAAACCATCCGGACTGGGAGGCGGGGTTATGCAAAATAGACAGGAACAGCCAGCGAAAGGCATGCTGGGAGCATTTGTATGGGAAGAATTTCGGGATTTTTGGGGTCGAATAATGCGGGACGCAGGAGAAAAGCGCGGGATGAGCTGGGGAAAGAACCCGGGAATGGGATGTGAAGGGTGCGAGCGCGGCGCGGGCGTTTTTGGCGAATTTTTGGGTTTTTTGGGGGGTTTGTGGGGGGTCCCTGAGCTCCCCCTTCCCCCCTCTTCCTTGGGGGCGAAGGTGGGACCCGAGTGGGGACAAAAACAAGGGCGGGGCAGGGCGAATGCAAATGAGCGGGCGGATAATTACCATAATATCCTGGAGGGGCGGAGCTTGTGCGACAAGAGGCGGAGTTATGCTAATCATTAAATGGTGCGGGAGTGGGCGGAGACAATGCAAAATAACATGCACAGTCAGCCAATCACAATGCGGGGCGGGGAAAAGCGATGGGCGGGGCTAAGAAACACCGGCTGACGTCTATTTGCATAAAGGGGCGGGGTTATGCAGATTTATTGACCCACCATGCGCGCGAAAGGCGTGATGGGATCATTTCTGCGGGAGAATTTTGCGATTTTTGGGGTCGGATCGTGCAGGACGCGGGAGGAAAGTGCGGGATGCGATGGAGAGAATGTTCCAGAAGGGGTCGGGAGCGGTCGGAGCGCGGCGCGGGGGCGGCCGTGAGGTGCGGGCGGGCCGGGCGGGGCCGGGAGCGGCGCTGGGGGAATGAGCCGGTATCGCTTCTCGGCCTTTTGGCTAAGATCAAGTGTAGTATCTGTTCTTATCAGTTTAATATCTGATACGTCCTCGATGAGAGGACTTTATATTAAACGGATTTTTGGGCTCGGGAGTTGGACCCGGAGCTTGCTCCCTCCGCTCCGCGCATCGTCCCGGTATTGCAGTGCCTCCGGGAACGGTGCACCCCGCACCGGGGACCTTTCACTGGTCAAAAATAGATTAAAAACTTACCTAAAACTGACTGAATGTCGCGATTATACCGTAACATCGCCTCAGCTCATCTATTCGCTACCCAAGTGCGACTTGCTCCTTTCTGCTGCACTCGCCGTGCCGCTATTGCAGCGCCTCCGGGAATTCCGGTACACCCCTAATGGGGACTTCTGGATGCTGAAAAAGAGGAGGCCAAGAGCACCTAAAACTGCGACAAATCGTGATTATATCGCGACATCAGCTGCGCTTCTGCTGGTCGCCGTTCTGCAGCTCATTGATTCCGTGTCGCACTCCCCGTCCCGGTATTGCAGCGCCTCGGGAACGGTGCGCCCACAACGGGGACCTGAAATGGTGAAAAATAGATTAAAACCTCCTAAAATGCGGGTTTTTTAGAAGAATTCGATTGCGATTTCAGCCATGCTTTAGTCGCTCGCTGGCATTCCAGGGAGGGTGGGTGCGACACAGAACGGATGAGCTGCAGAGGGGCAGCAACCGGCAGAAGCGCGGCTGATGTCGCGATATAAGCACGATTTGTCGCAGTTTTAGGTGCTCTTGAGCTCCTCTTTTTCAGCATCCAGAAGTCCCCGGTTGGGGTGCACCGGAAATCCCGGAGGCGCTGCAATAGCGGCCCGGTGAGTGCAGCACACATGAGCAAATTGCACTCGGTGAGGGAATGGCTGAACTGAGGTGATACTAAAATATGATCGCGACATTCAGTCACTTTTAGGTAAATCTTCAATCTGTTTTTAACCAATGAAAGGTCCCCGGTGTGGGGTGCACCGTTCCCGGAGGCACTGCAATACCGGGACGATGCGCGGAGCGGAGGGAGCAAGCTCCGGGTCCAACTCCCGAGCCCAAAAATCCGTTTAATATAAAGTCCTCTCATCGAGGACGTATCAGATATTAAACTGATAAGAACAGATACTACACTTGATCTTAGCCAAAAGGCCGAGAAGCGATACCGGCTCATTCCCCCAGCGCCGCTCCGGCCCCGCCCGGCCCGCCCGCACCTCACGGCCGCCCCCGCGCCGCGCTCCGACCGCTCCCGACCCCTTCTGGAACATTCTCTCCATCGCATCCCGCACTTTCCTCCCGCGTTTTGTACGCAAGGACCCCGAAAATCCCGAAATTCTCCCCAAATTTTCGCTCCCATGATGCCCTTGGCGGCGTGACGGCGCTAATTTGCATGATTACACCCGTTAAATTTACATAACTCCGCCACCAATCCGGCTTTTCCAACCGCCCACCCCTTGAAAGCCCCGCCCCACAGCCGCTTACTCGGGATCTGATTGGACGAACGAGCACTTTGATTTGCATTCACCACGCCCCTTGCCGAATAACCCGATTACCTCATTAGCATAACCACACCCGTTAATCACGTGATGCCGTGCTTCATTAGCATAACCCCCCCTTTATTTGCATATCAGCGGCCCCGCCCCAGCCCCCAAGGGCGGTGTTGTGGCTTTGGGGGGACATTGAGGGGCTCCCCGCTCTCCCCAAGGGATTCTGGGGGGACAGGAGGGACCTGGAAATGCCCAAAATCATCCAAACCACCCAAAAAATGGGTTTAAAGTTTCAATTTTGTGTTTAGTTTCAATGTTTGGTTTAAAGTCTGAATTTTGGGTTTAAATTCTGAAGTTTGGGATCCTGGGCTCAGTTTTGGTTCCCTGGCAGGGACAGTTTGGGGTTCATGTGCACGTGAACCCCCCTGATCCCTCCCCTGGTGTTTCCCCCTCCCCAAATAACAACTAATTCCATGTTTGAAACAAAAATAGAGATTTTTATTTGTATTTAATGAAACTTCCACGATCCAAGAGCTAGAAGAAGAAATTCAGCTTTAAGAGTTTAAAAAACTCATTTAAGACCCCCAAAATCTTTTAAAGACTCACACAGAGACCCCAAATCCGCATTTGTGACCCCAAAAAGCCTCAACCCTCCCACCATGGATCCCCCAAATCCCTTCTGGGTCCCCCCAGAGCCTCAGGGGGAACCGATCAATCACAGGGCTCAGTCTGGGGCGGTATCGCCTCATCCTTGGCAGGGGGGACCCCAAAATCCCCTCCCCAAAACCCAAAATCCCCTCCCCAACCCCCCCAAATCCTCTCCCCAAAGCCCCCAAATCCCCTCCCCAAACCTCAAAGCCCAAATCACAAAAATTTCCATTTAAAACCTTTAAATCCCTTCCCAAAACCCAAAATCCCCTTGACCAAACCTCTTTATGAAACACCCAAATCCCCTCCTCAAAAAACCCCAAAATGCCCTCACCCAAACCCTTAAAATCCCCTCCTTAAAGCAATCCCAAAATGCCTTTTTAACCCCAAAATCCTCTCCCCGACCCTCCAAAAATCCTTTATCTTTAAATTCTCCTCTCCAAACCCCCGAAATCCTCTCCAAAAAACCCCAAAATCCTTCTATAAAACGCCCTCCTCAAACCCCAAAATGCTGTGCCCCACACCCCAAAATCCTCCTTTAAAAAACCCCAAAATCCCCCCAAAAACCCCAAACCTCACCTGAATTTCTGGTCCCTGCAGCACCTGTGGGATGCAGACAAAGGGGGGAGGGGTTTTAGGGCGCCCCCTCCTCCCCAGGACCCCCCCGGGACCCCCCCCCAGTTTTTCAGGTGTTCGGGTGTTTTCAGGGGGGTCAAAGTGAGCTAGTGACATCATCACCAAAACTGGGGGCTCCCTGGGGGATGACATCATCGGTGATGTCATTTGTTAGGCCACACCCCCTCATTTACATACCTGGTGTCAGAGCTGTCAGTCACCTGAAAAGAGGGGACACAATGGGGGGGTCAGGGGGGGTTTTTGGGGAATTTGGGGACCCCAAAACGGGGGAAGCCCCCCTGGGTCAGTCCCTGGGGTGTCAACAGCGGCTTCAGCCGAACGAGATTCAAGGGGTCATCACCCCTGGGGGGCAAAATCCACCCCAAAACATCCAAAAACCACCCCAAAACCCACCCCGAAACACCCCAAAATCCACCCTAAAACATCCCAAAGTCACCCCAAAACCAACCCTAAAACATCCAAAATTCACTCCTGAAACCCACCCAAAACATCCCAAATTCACCCCAAAACCACCCCAAAACATCCCAAATTCACCCCCAAAACCAACCCTAAAACATCCCAAATTCACCCAAAACCAACCCTAAAACATCCCAAATTCACCCCTAAACACTCCAAACCCACCCTAAAACTCCCTAAATTCACCCCAAAACTCTCCCTAAAAGTTCTCCAGACCATCCCTGGAGGGTCCCCCCAATGTGGGGGTGCAAATCCCACCCAAGGGCCCCCCCAGAGGAACAATTCCCCCCCAGGTTGAGATTTTACCTTGAATTTTTTTCCAAATTCTTGAATTGGATCCAAAACCCCCAAATTCCCCTGTTTGGAGTTGGGGTCGCCCCATTCAGGACCCCTGGGGGGTGCAGGATGCTGTAATGAATTGAGGGGGGGGTCAGTGTGAGCCATGGACACCCCAAAATCCCCCCAGAATCCCCCCCAAGCCCCCCAGGCCCCCTCAGACCGTCCCCGCTGGGACCTCTCGGCCTCCTCTCCCCCCGGGGGCTCCAGGGGGTTCCACCTTTGCAGGTCCTGGGCCCGCCGGGGGGGTCAGACAGGTGAGGGTTTCCTCATGGGGGGCCTGGCACCCCAAATCCCAGCCTGGAACCCCAAATCCCAGCCTGAGACCCCCAAATCCCGGCCTGGCACCTTCAAATCCCAGCCTGGAACCCCAAATCCCAGCCCTCAATCCCAAATCCCAACCTGAGACCCCCAATGCCAAGCTGGGATCCCAAATCCCACCCTGAGACCCCCAAATCCCAGCCTGAGACCCCCAAATCCCAACCTGAGACCCCCAATGCCAAGCTGGGATCCCAAATCCCACCCTGAGACCCCCAAATCCCAGCCTGAGACCCCCAAATCCCAACCTGGAATCCCAAATCCCAACCTGGAACCCCAAATCCCAGCCTGAGACCCCCAAATCCCACCCCTCAATTCCAAATCCCAACCTGAGACCCCCAATGCCAAGCTGGGATCCCAAATCCCACCCTGAGACCCCCAAATCCCAGCCCTCAATCCTAAATCCCACCCTGAGACTCCCTAATGCCAACCTGGCACCTTCAAATCCCAGCCTGGAACCCCAAATCCCAGCCTGAGACCCCCAATGCCAACCTGGGATCTCAAATCCCAACCTGGGATCCCAAATCCCAGCCCTCAATCCCAAATCCAACCCTGAGACCCCAAATCTCACACTGAGACCCCCAATGCCAACCTGGCGCCCTTAAATCCCAACCTGAGATCCCAAATCCCACCCTGAGACCCCCAAATTCCAACCTGTGACCCAAATCCCATCCTGGGATCCCAAATCCCACCCTAATACCCCTCAATCGCATCCAAGGACCCCCAAACCCAACCTCATGACCCTAAATCCCACCAATCATCTCCAAATCCAACCGAAGAACCCACAAATCTCATTTAAGGTCCCCCAAACCCACCCCTTGTCCCTAAATCCCTTTTCAGGGAGCTCAAACCTCACCCCAAGGACCCCAAACCCTACTCTGGGACCCTCAACTTCCCCCCAAGAACCACAAACCTCACCCTGGAGCCCCAATCCTTAAGTGAGGGACCCCAAACCCACCCAGAGCCCCCAGCACTCACCAGGCCCCGCAGCCCCCACGGCTGAGCTGGAATTTGGGGGGGTCAGGGGGGTCCCGTGGCTGTGAAGGAAATTGGGGGGTTCAGGGAGGGCTCAGGGGGGCTCAGACCCCCCCAGGGGGTGCAGCCCCCCCCAAATCCGATCAGGGCTTTGGTAACTCTGCTGCCATTGGAATCATCCTCCAGTCAGGGGGTGTCATCCCTTCGGAATGGGGGGGCTGGGGGGGGGTTTGGGGCTTTAGGGGGGCTCTGACCTGAGTGGGGTCACTGGGGTCACTTCAGGGTGGTCTGGAGGTCACCCTGGGCTCGGACATATCCCGCTGTAAAATATAAATTATTGGTTGTTATTTAATTAAATTTTAATTATTTTATCAATTGTGGGGCCTAATGGTCATTGCTTTAAATGTGGGGGGATTTAGGGGGGCTCTGACCTGAGTGGGGTCACTGGGATCACTTCAGGGTGGTCTGGAGGTCACCCTGGGCTCGGACATATCCCGCTGTAAAATATAAATTATTGGTTGTTATTTAATTAAATTTTAATTATTTTATCAATTGTGGGGCCTAATGGTCATTGCTTTAAATGTGGGGGGATTTAGGGGGGCTCTGACCTTAGGGGGGGCTCCGTGTTCACTTCATGGTGGCCCGAGGTCTCTTCCAGTTCTTAACGCTACAAAATACAAATTAATTGCGTTTACTGATTTAAACTCTTATAAAGCAATTAATTAGTAAGAATAAATTTGCATTAATTAGTGAATTAGCAGCTGCTCTCAGCAGTCACGTGGCATCAGGGGCCCTCAGCCATATGCTTGTCATTGTCACTCCTCACCGAACAGCCACAAACGTGGGGGGACCCCGAATCTGCACCGCGGGGGGAGAAAATTCCCCAATTTTACCCCAAAAAAGGGAACTCACCTGGGCAGGGACCATGGGGAACCCGCGGATGAGGATTCCATGATGCAAAAGCTAGTAAAAAAAAGAATTTAAAACGAATTTCAGAGCTTTGAAACTCTTGTAAAATCCCCCAAAATCTCTCCACAACCCAAAGACCCCCAAAATCCTCATTTGTGACCCTCCCAAAACCCCCCCCAGGTCCCTCCAGAGCCTCAGGGGGAACCGATCAATCACAGGGCTCAGTCTGGGGCGGTATCGCCTCATCCTCGGCAGGGGGGACCCCAAAATCCCCACCCCAAAACCCAAAATCCCATCCGCAAACCCCCAGACTCACCTGAGCGCTCACGGCTCGTGCCTTAAAAACAAAGAAAAAAGCTATTAAAATAACGATTTAAACAAAGCAGATCTTTATGTAAACTTCATAAGTTTAAATTCCACGAGCATTTAATGCGCTGGATGAGGGTCCCAAGTGGATCTGAACCTCCACACGTGGTTTATGCCCCACATAAAGATTTACCCCCCCACTCGTGATTCTGATTTATTCCATGAGGGTCCTAAACCCTCCCAAAGAGATCTGGAGCCCCCCCGTTGGTCAGTGCCACTCAGATTATTCCAGAAGCTTCTCCACTGACCTATCAGCAAGAGAGAGTTCAGGGTGATCATCCCCGCAGCACTGCTGCCCTCAAATCCAGGTTATTAAACCCAAAGCGACTCACCTCAGGCAAAAGCAGCATTTCGCGGGTAGAAGCACTAAAAAGAAAACAAAAGGAAAAGGTTTTAGAGTCAAAGAATACGATCATATGAGATAGCAAATCCCCAGGTCGGGGCAAGACGAGCCCTCAGAGAACTTTATAAATTCTTCACCGCGCCATCAGCACAGGTCTGTGAGAGACTCATCCCCGAGCAGCCCCTGAGGAAGGCGCGGCGCCCTCACGGAACCCCTCAGGGAGGGACACAGCGGCTGCACCGTGAGGGGAAGGGGCCTGGAGAACTCCAGACTGCTCCCCATGAGCCAGGCGAGAGGAAACGCGGTTATAAAGGCCGCTGCACCCCCCTGAACTCCCCCCATACCCCATTCAGGTACATCCCAGAAGACTCCGTAACGCACCTTCTCCTACCGCTGCTGGGACAAAATGGCCGCCTTGCTCCCTCGCGGCAGCTTAAATACCGCGCAGGGCATGCCGGGAAAAGGGGCGGGGCGTGAGCGCTGAGGGAGGAGAAAAGGCGGGAAAGGCGCGAGGGCCGTGGGGCGCCCCCTGGCGGGTGAGGCCGTGAGGGGAATTCCCGGGGAGGATTTGGGGGAGTCTTTTTTGGGAGTTCCACACCCGAATTCGTTCGGCAACTCCCGGCACCGCTCTGAAGGGTTCGGAGCGATTAATTAATTCTCTTGATGGTTTTTTAGCTCCACGCTCCGCCAATCGGGTGTTTCCGGTTGTTTCCGCGCGTCCCTCGGTTTTAATCGGGAGTTTCCGCCACCTTTCGGCTCCGCCAGCCCCGCCCCCCTCTGCGCTCGGGTATTTCCGTCACTGTTCGGCTCCTTCAGCCCCGCCCCCTCTGCGCTCGGGTATTTCCGTCACTGTTCGGCTCCTTCAGCCCCGCCCTCCGCTGCGCTCGGGTATTTCCGGCACCGCTCGGCTCTTTCCGCCTCCCCCTTAGACACTCATTCCCCAGACAGCGTCTTCTCATTAGCAGACTCCAAATTAACGCTCATTAAGCTCCTCCCTCTTATTAAACACCCCATCAGCTGCTCGGGAACCCCATTTACCCCTTCTAGCCCAACTTCACCCCCAAACCACTGTGAACACTTCACAACCAACATTAAAATAAAGTCAACAAAACTCAAAAAAAGCAACAAAAACAGCTTGAAAAGCCCCAAAATGCTGGGAACAGAGCCCAAATTCCTTTATTGTGCTCAGGAGTTGGCGTTGGGACCCTTCTTCTTGCCGAAGGTGGGCACCACGTTGACGAAGCGCCGGTTGTACTGCATGCGCCGCTTGGCCCGCCCCGTCTTCTTCTTCTTCTTCTCCTGCTTGGCCACCTGATGGAAAACCGGGGGGTCAGGGGGGGTCCCCAAAACCCTGGCAGGGTCCCCAAACCCCGTGGGGGTCCCCAAAGCCGGGGGAAGCCCCCTCAGCGCTCACCTTGGGGGTCTGGCCCCTCACTTTGCCGGCGCGGGCGAGGGAGCCGTGGACTTTACCTGGGGGGAGGAAGGAAATTGGGGTGTTGGGGGGGTTGTTTTGCTAATTACCAGCCCGATAATTAGCGCCCCCCCTGTAATTACCCGCCCAGCAGGCGCGTGGAGAGGTCCAGGGTGGTGAATTCGGGGAGGGGGCTCTGCCCCAGCACGGCCTCATCGTCCAGGGGGGTCCCGGCGTGGAGCAGCACTTGGTCCTCGGGGGGGATCCCCGAAAGCTCGGCCACCCTCTCCTGGGGGAGGGGACAAACGGGGGGGGTCAGCACCCCAAAATCTGGGAGGGAAACTGGGGAGGGGGACAGCCCGAATTTGGGGCTCTCACCTTGATCTGGGCAAGGGTCTCAGAGCCAGAGAGCTCGAGGGTGAGGAGGGTCTGGCCACGGATGAAGAGCTGCATGGTGACGGCTGGGGGGGGATTCGTAGGGGTTAGGGGGGGATTCCCCACATCCCAAAAATAAAGGGGAGACCCTCAGGGATCTCCAACAAATTTAGGGTGGAATTTGGAGGGTCTTCAGACCCTTCTGTCTCTATTTTTGGGGGAAAAACCTCCCTGATTTTCCTCCTCCCCCTGTTCCCCCTTAGAGGGTCCCCCCAAAGACTCTGGGCCTTTCTGAACCCCCACAAATCCTTCCCGAAGCCTCATGGACCCCCTCACAAATAACCCCGAACCCCTCAAGGCCTCACAGCGCCCTCAGGGCTCCCCCCAACGCCTCAGCCCCCCAAGAAAAACCCCGGGACCCCTCAAAAACCCCCCAAGCCCCCCTCAAGGCCTCACAATCACCCCCAAGACCCGCCAGGCTCGTCAAAACCACCTCAAGCCACCTCATCCCCCTCCCCCAGCTCCTCCCGCCCTTCTGACCCCCTCAAAGAGCCCCAATCTCCTCAAATCCCCCCAAAAATCCCCAAATTCCCCCCGAACCCCTCGAGCGCGGCCTCACCACGGCGTCTCCAAGGCGGAAAGGGGCAGCGCGCAGGCGCGGCGCGGTGACGCCACCTGCACGTAAAGCGTAAGTCGCGGAACTACAAAGATGGCGGACTTCTGGCAAAGGGGCGTGTCCAGGAAAATAGCGGGCTCATTGGTCTAGAGCACGAGTGGGCGGGCTACCAGGGCGCGTCACTTCCGGGCGGCAAATCCCCGCGTTGCCGTGGCAACGCGATGGCGGCGGCTGAGGAGAGGTGGGGGAGGGGCGGTTTTTGGGCGGTTTCTGGGGGGTTTTGGGGGGTCCCGGTGTCGGGATTCGCCCCCCCCCTCAACGCTCCGACCCCCCCGCAGCTCTTCGCTATGGCTGGAGGCTCACGAGGACCCCCTGGCCGGGCTGTGCAGCTTCCCGGGGTGCATGGGTGAGGGGGCCGTGAGGGGGGATTTGGGGTGGGGGGGGTCTCTGTGTGAGGGGGGGTTTGGGGTAAGGGGGGGGGGGTTTTGGGGGGGTCTCTGAGGGAGGGGTGGGCTGGAGGTGAGGGGGGGTCTCCGTATGAGGGGGGGGGGCGTCGTGAGGGAGGACTGGGAGTGAGGGGGGATCTGTGGGTTTGGGGGGATCTGTGGGTTTGGGGGGGCTGTGGGTTTGGGGGTCTCTCATTGGGGAGGGTCTCTGGGTGGGGGTCGCTGAGAGGTTTCCCCTGGCTGGGGGAGGACGGGGGGAGGGGGGGGATCATTTTTGGGGGGTTCCCCTGGGTTTGGGGGTGTCCCAGCCACCCCCCCCCCCCCACCCCCCGGGGTCCCCCTGAACCCCTCCCCCTTCCAGCGCTGGTTGATCTCCATGGCGACGGCGACCACAAGGTGATTCTGAACTGGGGAGGGGGTCCTGGGGGGCTCTGGGGGTCCCTGGGTGCAATGTGGGGGGTCCTTAGGGTATCGTGGGGGTCTCTCCCTCCCCCGACCCCCCATTTTCCCCCTCCCCCAGCTGCTGGTGGGGGTGCCCTGGGTTGTTCTGGGGGGTCCAGAGTGGTCCCTGGGGGTATCCCAGGGGTCCTTGGGGGCTCTGGGCTGTTCTGGGGGGCTCTGGGGGGGTTCCTGGTGGCCTCACCCCCCCCCCCCATTTCCTCCCCCAGCTGGTGGTGGGGGTCTCCTGCAGGCCGGGGTGTCCCTGGGTTTTTCTGGGAGTCCCTGAGTTGTTCTGGGGGCTCTGGGGGTCCCTGTTTGTTCTGGGGGGGTCTCTGGAGGCTCTGGGCTGTTCTGGGAGTCCCTGGGTTGTTCTGGGGGGGTTCCCGGTGGTCCTCACCCCCCCATTTTCCCCCAGCTGGTGGTGGGGGTGCCCCGCGGGCTGGGGGAGCTCTGGGGGTCCTGGGCTGTTTCGGGGGGGTTCCCGGGGGTCTCTCCCCCCCTGAGCCCCCCATTCTCCCCCAGCTGGTGGTGGGGGTGCCCCGCGGGCCGGGGGGGCCCCGCCTGGCCGTGGTGAGGGGCGCGGGGCTCCATCTCCAGCCTGGCTCTGCCCGAGGCCCCCGCGGGGCTGGGGGGCGTTCGGCCCCCGCCTTTGGGGGCTCGGGGGGCTCCGGGCCGGTGCCGGGGGGGGTCCCGCGGTGGTCGTGGCCGCCGGCCCCGCCCTCTACGTGTACCGGAACCTTCGGCCCTTCTTCAAATTCTCGCTGCCCCCCCGCGCCCCCGAGCCCCTCGAGAGGGACCTGTGGCTGCAGGCAGAGCAGGTGGGCACGGAGGGGGCGTTTGGGGGGGACCCCTCCCCAAATTTGGGACCCCCCCCCAGCTCTGCCCGGGGGGGTTTCAGTCATCCTGATGTTGGTTTTTATTTTGTTTTTTTGTTTGTTTTTTTGTTTGTTTTTTTGGGTTTTTTTTGGGGTTTTTTTGTTTTTATTTTGGGGGGGGTCCTGCAGGATCAGATCGACCCCCCTGATTGCTGAAGGAGATGTTGGAGGATTTGAGGTGGGGGCGACCCCGGATTTTGGCCGGGGGGAGGTGAAAATAAATGGGGAGGGGGGATTGGGGGCACCACAAAAAAAATATTTGGGTTTTTTTTTTTTTGGGAGGGGGGGGGGGAATTATTGGGGTCTTGGGGGGGAATTTTGAGGGGAAATTTGGGATCACTGAGGGGGGAATTTTGCGTCCATGGGAGGGATTTTGGGTTTTGGGGGAGGAATTTGGGGGTCTTTGGGGGGGATTTGGGGCCTTGGGGGGAATTTTGCATTTTTGGGGAGGAGTTTTGGCTCTTTAAGTGAGAATTTTGGGGTCCTTGGGGAAATTTTGGGTTTTGGAGGAAAATTTTGGGTCCCTGGGAGGATTTTTGGGTCCCTGGGAGGAATTTGGGTCCCTGAGGGGGAAATTTTGGGCCCCTGGGAGAATTTTTGGTTTTTTGGGGGGAATTTTGTGTCTCTGGGAGGAATTTGGGTCCTTAGGGGGAATTTGGGGGAAATTTTGAATTTTGGGGGGGCAATTTTGGCTCCCAAAAATCTGGATCACTTGAGGGGTATCCCCAAAATCCTGGGTGCCTTGGAGGGGTCACTTTTGGGGGGGGGGTTCCCCTAAATTCGGGTCCCTTTTGGGGTCACTGGGGGTCCTTTTGGGGTGGGGGGGGGCAGCCTGAGCCCCCCCCTCCCCGATTGGATTTTGGGGGGTCCCAGGGACAAGGCCGAGGTGCCCCTGACGGCGCAGTCGCTGCGGTGAGTGGGGGGTCCTGGGGGTCCCTCTGGGGTCTGGGGGGTCCTGTGCGGTTTGGGGGGGGTCCCTGTGCGGTTTGGGGGGTCCCAAGGGTCCTGGGGAGGGTCCTGGGAGGGTCCCAGGGGGATCTGGGGGGGGGTTGGGGGTTCCTGGGGAGGTCCCCAGGGGGTTTAGGGGGGGGGGTTCCCACAGGGTTTTGGGGATGTTCCAGTGGGGTCTGGGGGGTCCCCGTTGTTTTGGAGGGTCCTTATGGGATTTGGGGGGTCCTGGGGGGGGGTCCCTGTGGGGTCAGGGGGGTCTGGGGGTGCCATGGGGGGGGGGGTCCCCGGGGGTCCCTGGGTGCCATTGGGGGGGTCCCTGAGGGTTCCTGAGGGTCCCTGGGGGTCCCTGGGTGCCATGGGGGGGTCCCTGGGGGTCCCTGGGTGCCCCTGGGTACCATGGGTGGGGTCCCCGGGGGGTCCCTGGGTGCCATGGGGGGGTCCCCGGGGTGCCATAGGTGCCCCCCCTGCCCCCCCCCAGGCTGCTGGCACTGCCCCCCCCCCGAGCTGGGGCCCTTCGTGGCGCTGCACAAGGGGCGGCCCCTGCAGAGACAGGTGGGTGGCACCTGTGGCACCTGGGCCACCTCCGAGTGTCACCTGTGTGTCCCCTGTGTGTCACCTGTGTGTCCCCTG